GGGCTCTCCTCTCCCAGCAGGTGCCCTGTGGGTCTCTTCCCTGGCAGGCCACCCCAGCGCTGATGGGGGGGGCTCGTGGGCCGTGTCCCTGCTCAGCTGGGGACCAGCTGGCGCGTGGGGCCGGGCCCCCAGGAGGGTGGAACAAGGCCGTTCCATTGCTGGCGCTAGAGCTGTGCAGCTTTGCTCCAGCCCGGGCACTGGGCGGTCACTGCGGCTGAGATCGCCGCCAACCACTCCAGGGTCAACCTGGCCGAGTAGGTGCCCTGCCCAGCACGGGCCTTTCGCACCACAAATCCACCAACCCTGCGCCACACCTGCCCCTCTGGCCAGGTCCCACAGCTGGGAATCCTGACTCCCAGCTCCCCCACCAATGAACCCAGGCCAGGTCCCACAGCTGGGAAAAGACCCCAGGAATCCTGACTCCCAGCTCCCCCACCAATGAACCCACTGGGTCCCTCTCCTCTCCCACAGCTGGGAAGGAATCACAGAAGGGCGATGAACTAGACGGGGACTTTTCAGCTTAGACAAGAGGAGACGAAGCGGGGGTGGGATCGAGGGCTATAAAATCAGGATGGGTGTGGAGAAAGGGAATAAGGAAAAGTTCTTGACTTGTTCCCATCCCATCAGAACTAGGGGTCACCCGATGACATGAACAGGGAGCTGGTTTCAATCAAACCAAAGGACGTTTTTCTTCACGCAGCGCATGGGTAACCTGTGGAACTCCTCGCCAGAGGATGTGGGGAAGGCCAGGACTTTAACAGGGTTGGAAAGGAGCTAGATAGATTCATAGAGGTTAGGTCCATCGATGGCTATTAGCCAGGAGGGGTAGGGAAGGTGTTTTTAGCTTCTTTGTCAGAGGCTGGGAATGGGCGACAGAGGAGGGATCACTTGATGGTTCCCTGTTCTGCTCACTCCCTCTGGGGCACCTGGCATAGGCTGCTGGCGGCAGACAGGACACTGGGCTCGACGGCCATTCTGGCCCCATGCGCTAACCACTAGACTCCCCTCTCAAACCCACGAGTCCTGATGTCTTTGCTAAGCAGGGCTGCTGGCTGCCCCCGGGTGTTCCCCAGCCAGTCTCGATTTCTAATGGGGTGATTCTCCAGGCCAGCACTCTGTGTCCCGGGGCCCTGTGATACCCCCAGTGACCTCCTGGCTATTCCTGGTGCCGGGACAGCTCTGAAATGCCTCCCCCTCTTCCTGGGGTGGAAGGTGGCATTCCCAAAACGGGGGTCTGGGCCCCCCAAGCCTGCCCACTTATGGGGCTGGGTAAATAGTCTGTGTTGGAAGGTTCCCCCCCCCTGGGGCTGGCTCATCTGTGGCTTCCCCTGCCGTGGGGCTGGCTCATCTGTGTCTCGCCCTCTCCTTCTGCCTGCAGCTTCGACCCGGACCCCCGGAGTCGTTACACCTTCTGGACTTTCACCTTTGGGGGCACCTTGGTGTGGCTCTCCATGTACGGCGTGAACCAGGCCCAGGTCCAGCGCTACGTGGCTTGCAAGACGGAGCGTGAGGCAAAGCTGTGAGTGCCCCCTCTCCTCCCCGCGGCCTGCTGGGGGAAGGGAAACTGAGGCAGGGTCCCCCTTCCTTGGGAAGGGAGCGCCCAGCGGCTGGGGGCAGCTCAGCACAGCAGGATGGAGGAAGGGGGGCCTGGGGATGGCAGGCTGTGCCGGAGACTGAGGGGTCATTATCCAGCATGCGGACGGAGGGAGGTTGCTGTGGGCCTGGGCTGGCAGGGGAGGGTGCAGGCGGCAAAGAGAGGCCTTCGTCCTTCCTATGCTGGGTATCTCTAATGCCAACCCGCCGGCTGTCACGCACCTTCCCCCCTCCTCCTGTCTGAGTCTATAGACGCAAGCCATGTGCCATCAGATGCCGATAACCCTCCCCTGACTCCGATAATGCCACCTGGCTGGCCGTGCCAAAGTTGGGAGCTGCCCACACGTACGGCAGGGGCTTATCAGTGGCTGAGGTGGTGCCAGTGTTGTGCAAGGGCAGAAAGATCCCTGCCCTAAAAGCACTTGGCCTCGCTGATCTCTCGCAGCAGGGAGTTCCAAAGGCCATTGTAGTGAAGGATGAAATGTGACCAGGGGTCCTAGCTGGCGTGGGGTGGGGCATCGGAACGATGTCCCCTCTCATTTTTTCCATCCATGTGTGGATTTTTCCCCCTCCATGTGCGGAATACATTTTGTGATGTGCACGGAGGCGCGGTTGAATGTGCACTGATCTCTTGCAGCAGGGAGTTCCAAAGGCCATTGTAGTGAAGGATGAAATGTGACCAGGGGTCCTAGCTGGCGTGGGGTGGGGCATCGGAACGATGTCCCCTCTCATTTTTTCCATCCATGTTATTGATCAGCACTGTCCATGTGCGGAATACATTTTGTGATGTGCACGGAGGCGCGTTTGAATGTGCACCACAAGGAAATAACACCAGCCCAATGGTGGGCGCTCTGCTAATCGGCTGGGCGGCACTAGACTCTCTCTAGAAGCTCGCCCGGCTTCCAGGG